GCAGCGCTGTTTTATCATACTAGATACGTTTGAAAGTTCTGTTATAATGCTACTCTGTGCGGTCGTCACCGGTCTATTAAAACACACAACGTGTGTAAAGCGTCTTTGGTGTTTCCATGTTTTCTACAAAACAAAACCGGAAATCGAGGGCTTATGACGTCATTAGCAGGCGACACAATGTGACCGTGTCACTAGTTAAAATTGCTTATTTCTCTGGATTTAAACATTCTTCGAAACATTTAGGATAAAGTACACAAGTCAGCAAAATATATAACACTGTTCTAGTGGTTTTTGGATATTTTAATAAAAAAAATCTTACATACTGTGCCTTTAATGTATCCTTACTTAATAAAATAATTAATTTCTTTAAAAACTCTTACCGACAGTAGTGTAGTCCATAAAACCGTATGGCAACAGTAGTATGTATCCAATACTTTACTTTGTCTGAGGAACAAAAAAGAAAAAAAGAAAATCATAAAAATTTTTATATTAACATAAGGGTGAATAAATGATAAATTTACATTTCTGCACGAACTGTCATTTTAACATGTTTAATTATCATAAATGCCTAATTGTCATTTTTGAAAACAATAAAAAGCCTTTTTCTTAATACTAAAACTGCTATATTCAGAGGAGGGAGCAGATCCAGAAAGCATTGAAAAAGTGGCCCAGCAGGTTTTGGCAATCTCCTTGCCAGTCAACAGGACCGTAATACTCAACATCGTCGAGCAGATCAAAGCTAACATCGCCAACCTCACCAATGTGGAGGGAGTGTTCAATCACACCTCAGAGCAACTGGCCAAAGTCAAGGATCTGCTTAAGAGAGCTCAAGATGCAAAGTAAGCGAGAGAGAACATTGCTCACTATTTTACACAGAAATCCACATTATAGTAAATTACATTGTATGTGTGTGTGGTTTTGTGTTTGCACAGGGCTCAAGCTGAAGGGGTGAGCGATAATATCAATAAAACTAAAGAAGCACTTGAAACCTCTCAGAGTGCCATAAAAAAAGCTGAGAAGGAAATGACCACAGCCCTAGAAAATCTCAAGAATGCCCAGAACATCACTACTATGGTAAGCCTTTATTATTATTATTATTATTATTATCAGTGTTGAAAACAGTTGCGCTGCTTCAATTTTTTTGTGGAAACCATCATACTTTTCTCATGATTCTTTGTAGCATTATTGAATTGATATCGAGTCATAGTCTTAAGATCTGAATTAATCTGCTTCTGTCTCTTTCCCGAACAGCTTGACAACAAACTCTTCAATTTAGACAGCAACCTCATGGGTGTGATGATGCGACTGGCCAATTTGTCTCATGGAGTGGTTTTATTGAAGAATAAAACGGAGCAGAACAGGGAGATGGCAAAAGATGCCAAAGCTCAGTCCGACAATGCAACTCAAGAGGCTGCTGGACTTCAAGAGGTGTGTGTGTGTGTGTGTGTGCACGTCTAGCTATATTTTAGAGCTTCTTCCATTAACTTTTTTTTTTGTGTGCATGTTTGTGTTTAAAAGGAACTGGTAAATGCCGAGAATCTGTATAATGAGCTGAAAGAGAAGGTGGACTCTGTGGGCGGGACAGGAGAAGGTAACATTAGCCAGAAAGCTATAGAGATGAAGAAAGAAGCAGAGGAACTGCTGAAGAAAGCCACCACAGGCATGGAAACCCTCAGAAGTATGTCCAAATGCCCAATTAAACATTTACTAAAGCAAAGCACTGAAATGTTATGCTCAAATGAACCTATGAGCCAAGTGTTATTTATGCTGTCATTTTTGTTATTAAACACAGTAACAAATGTGAATATTTTGAGATATCTGACTTTGTTTGGCTCTTTTCTCATCTTCTTGTTTTTCTGTGTCCCTCCTTTGAAGAATTAGAGAGAAAATTCAACAAGAACGAGCAGAAAATGCAGCAGCAGCGGGATGAATTGGCGGATCTGGAGAAAAACGTTACAGAAGTCAGAGAATATATCCGATTAAAAGTCATGGGCTACAACAACTGTCAGTAGGAACTGTAAATAACAGACAAAAGCCGGAAATCAGACATCTCAATCACCCTCTGTGTGATTCATATATTGATCCATTACAACCCAAATTGCTATTTCATTACAAATCAGCAGCTTCACTACTTAATTGTTATGAAGTTGATGACAAACTTCAGAGTAAAGTACTAGGTCTTATTGTCGTCCTGCTAAATCAGTGGTTCTCAACATTTTTCAGGTGTCGGAGGGCTGAAAAATGGACTATCTAATACCAGAAGTTTAATTTGATGTCCTTTTCACTGTTGCTGACTTGAGTCACCATTTTTTCCCTACATTTTTTCACCCATTTTTTTTTCTAAACTGCTGTTTTGTTCATATTTTATTGAAACTAGCAACTAGCTGACTGTTTGCTAGCTTAGATATTGAAACAAATGCTTACATCCACTTGACAGAACCGTCAGTTATGTTATTAATTTAATGTTAACAGTCAGTTTATTAATTTGATTAATTTTGATTAACTCAATATTGGTGTTTTATGTTATATATTTTTAATGCTTTTTATTTTTTATTTTTAATTAAATAAGCCAATCAACAAAACAGACCACAATTTGAGAACCACTGTACTAAATGAACTGCAGACCAACTGTTGTGTAGCCTAGTGGCCAAAGACATGCACTACTGTTCAAAGGTTTGGGGTCAGTAAGATTAAAAAAAAAAATAAAGAAATGAACACTTTTATTCAGCAAGGATGCTTAAATTGATGAAAGTGACAGTAAAGACATTTAAAATGTCACAAAAGATTTATAAGAGTTATTCATCAAAGAATCCTGAAAGGCTGCTGAAAATTCACTTACTTCACACTTAATGTTCATTTAATATTAAAATAGAAAATAGTTGTTTTAAATTGTAATGCTATTTCACAATATTACTAATTTATAGATCTTTGCAGACTTAAGAAGCATGAGGCTTCTATCAAAGAAAAATCTTATCGACCCCAAACTTTTCAACTGTAGTTACATTTAAACTCTGAAGTGCCTAACATCATATTTTTTATATTATGTAAAAAACATATATGAACACATTAAACCTTTGATATGGAATGCAAACGTTACTGTTTTGTTTTGTTTTTTTTATATGCAGAAACAGCCTCAGTTTTTTGTGTATTACATCTGTAGTACAAGAGGGGGCGATAGAGAATGTAGAAAAAAGTTCAACAGTGGGACATATTACAATGAAACATATATCAGTCCTCATTTTTATGGTACTATGCATATTTCAGAATTTCAGGTTTGTTTCAGCATTATATATTGCACCTTTAAAGTTGTGCCTATTGGCTTTTCTGTCTCTGCATCATCCTTCCTGTGTCTGTTAGTGTTAGGCAGGACATGTTCATTTCTGTGGAGTAATCCTGTCTCTGTTTGGATCAGTGGCTTTAGCTGAGAAAAATATATATATTTATTCCAAAAATGTGCCCTTATGACTGGTTTTGTGGTCCAGGGTTACATATATACGTTATATCATCTATCTATCCATATATTAAATCTCTTCCATATTCGGTTTTACATTATCAATTTATTTTGATCTGATGTGTTTCATATTTTTCAAGTGGGGCAGACTTTTTAACATTATTTATTTGAATATCCATGTTTAGATGTACTTTTTAAGCAAAATGTGTTTGAGCCACAAGCCTTAACCTTATCTTATAACCTTCTTACATTATATATGTAGGAACTCATACATTTCTTGCATTTAAATGTGTTCGGCCAATTTTAATCATTCACCAAATGTTTTTGAGCCTGACCCCCCACAAGACCCATGAATCATTTGCACCTGCTTATATAACTGAAGTCTGTTCTATCGATGTCTCAGTAGACAGTTCAGTTGACTTGTGATGCTCCACACT